TTTCTCATCAGAAACTTTGGAGGGCAGAAGGCAGTGGGCTGATGTATTCAAAGTGCTAAAAGAAAAAAACAAAACAAAACTGTTAACCAAGAATCTTACATCCAGCAAAACTTTGTCAAAAGTGAGGGGGAAATTAAATCATTCCCAGATAAGCAAAATCAGAGGTAGTTTGTTATTATTAGACCTGTCCTGCAAGAAATGAATAAGTTAGTTCACAAGTTGAAATGAAAGGACAATAAACAGTAACTGAAAGCCATATGAATAAATAAAGAGCTCAATAAAGATAAATACATGGGCAATTATAAAATCTAGTGTTACTGTAAAAGTGGTTTGTAACTCCACTTTTTGATTTATACATGATTTAAGAGACATACATTTTTTTAAAAAATTATTTGTCTAAAAGCTAGTATTGATATTATTTGCAGCTTTGGTTTATAACTCCACATTTTGTTTTCTATATAATTTAAGAGACTAGTTTATGGTTTTGAACATATAATATATTAGGATGTAATTTTATGATAACAACTGAAAAAGAGGGGCAGAGTTTTTCTATGTTATTAAACTGGTATATATCCAAATTAGAGTGTTATAACTTCAGGATGTTGAAAGTAATCCCCATGGCAACCACAAAAGAAAGAACAACCCAATTCAAAAATGGTCAAAGGACTTGAATAGACATTTCTCCAGAGAAGATACACAAATGACCAACAAGCATATGAAAAGATGCACAACATCACTAATCACTAGGAAACTGCAAATCAAAATCACAATGAGATAAGACCTCACACTCATTAGGATGGCTACTATTAAAATAAAACAGAAAATAACAAGTGTTGGCAAGGATATGAAAAATTGGAAATTTTGTGCACTGTGGGTGAGAACGCAAAATGGTACAGCTGCTGTGGAAAATAGTATGGCAGCTCCTCAAAAAATTAAAAATAGAATTTCAGTATGATCCAGCAAACACCATTTCTGAGTATATACACAAAACTGAAAGCAAGATCTTGGAGAGATATTTCTACACGCATGTTCATAACAGCATTATTCACAATAGCTACAACATGGAAGCGAGACAGGTGTCTGTCCATTGACAGATGAATGGAAAAACAGAATGTGATAATACATACAATGGAATATTATTCAGTCTTAAAAAGGAAGGAAATTCTCCAATATGTCACAACATAGATAAACATTAAAGACATTATGCTAAGTTAAATAAGTCAGTCACAAAAAGATAAATACTCCACTTTGTATGACTCCATAAGTATGACTCCACTTATATGAGGCACATAGAAGTGTCAAATCGTAGAAACAGAAAGTAGAGTGGTGGTTGCCAGAGGCTGGGGAGTGGAGGGAGTGGGGAGTTATTGTGTAATAGGTATAGAGTTTCAGTCTTTAAGATGAAAATAGTTCTGGAGATGGAGGGTGGTAATGGTTGCACAGAAATATGAAGGTACTTAGTAACACTAAACTGTACACTTAAATGGTTAAGATGGTAAATTTCATGTATTTCATTATGTATATTTTAGAAAAGGCTCTGAGAGAGAGCCTGAGGGATTATCCTATAAGCAATGTGTATATATTTTAGTGTATGGGGTTTATAAACTCTATTTTGATCACATATTCGTCCTTTTAGTTTCTTTCCCAACCCTTAGTTCTGTTCTATTCAAAGGAGTTTGTCTAATAACTGAGTTCTAAACAGGTGAGGTCATTTGGTAAATGTTTTTATAGGTTTATTTGCCCTCATCCAGGTTCTTAACATATAAAGGCACTATAAAGGAGTGGATAAAAAAGTAGACTCTGGAGTCAGAAAGACCTGGGTTTGAATTTGAGCTCCAGAATTAACTACCTATGTGACTTTGGGGACTTTTGCAACCTCTCAGTTTACTCATCTGTGAAATGGAGATAATAAGGTACCATTGGAGTATTTTGTGATAACTAAACAAAATGCATATGAAATGATATGATGATGGTGCCTGGCACCAATAAGAGCCGATGCTTGTTATCATTATACTGAGAAGTCCCAGCAGGAGGCGAGAGCATTCACTCTCTCTCATTCTGCTTGTTGTTGAGATGACCATGTCAGCATAACACAGCCAGTTCACTTTGCAATTGGAATTACACACAGATCATTGCTTAATTATCAGATGATATCAACAAAATGAGGATTTGTAATGGATTTTATAAAAGAAAGAATGATTTTTCAATTAAATTTAGAAAAGAGGCAAGCAGGGGAAAAAACCTTATTTCCCTTGAGTTTATCCTATAATCACAAACTGGGCCTGAGTAAGCATATTGCTTCTTAGAACAAGGGTAAAATAAAGTCATTCAAGACCTAGTTGTGCAAAATTGGATTTCCCAAAAAGAACTGGAGATCAGATATTCAAAAGAGATACTCTTAAAAACAACATTGAGGGGCTTCCCTGGTGACGCAGTGGTTAAGAATCCGCCTGCCAATGCAGGGGACACAGGTTCGAGCCCTGGTCCGGGAAGATCCCACATGCAGCGGAGCAACTAAGCCTGTGCGCCACAACTACTGAGCCTGTGCTCTAGAGCCCGCGAGCCACAACTACTGAGCCTGTGTGCCCCAACTACTGAAGCGCGCATGCCTAGAGCCCGTGCTCCGCAAAAAGAGAAGACACGGCAATGAGAAGCCCGCACACCGCAACAAAGAGTAGCCCCTGCTCGCCGCAATAGAGAAAGCCTGCGCACAGCAACAGAGACCCAGTGCAGCCAAAAATAAACAAATAAAAATAAATAAGTAAATTTATAAAAAAAAAACCCAAAAAAATGAATATTAAATTTGAAACTAATCTTTCCTTTTTTTTTTTTTTTTTTTGCGGTACACAGGCCTCTCACTGTTGTGGCCTCTTCCGTTGCGGAGCACAGGCTCCGGACGCACAGGCTCAGCGGCCATGGCTCACGGGCCCAGCAGCTCCGCCGCATGTGGGATTTTCCCGGACCAGGGCACGAACCCGTGTCCCCTGCATTGGCAGGCGGACTCTCAACCATTGTGCCACCAGGGAAGCCCAAAACTAATCTTTCTTAATTACTTTTTATTTATCTTTTTGATGAAGCCTTCACACACACACACACACACACACATTCATAGGTTTATGCATATGTGTGTGTGTATATTCTTAGTTTGCCTACTTACATTTTTTTCACATAAAAATTAAGAAACATGTAATTGGAAGATAGCCGTGGTGAATTTACCCCTTCATTTTGTATCACGAAAAGAGTGTTTTGGGGCCCTGGGTGACCGTCCCTTTACCTCCCTCAGCTTCTCTCTTCCTCACTTAGGCTTAAAGAAAGAGACAGTGTAAATGAGTATATAGTATCTTTGTCTCAGAAGAAAGCACACAGTAGAAAAAAGCACGTCAATAACCGATACAAATGCGTATTTAAAACATGATTGGGATTGAAAACATATGTCCAAAGACTTGTACATGAATATTGATAGCAGCATTATTCATAATAGCCCCGTATTGACCCCAGCCTAAATGTCCATCCCCTGATGAAAAGATAAACAAAATGTGTTATATCCATACAATAGAATGTATTTATATTTTTATATTTATATATAAAAATATGCAAATTTGTAGTTAGTATATTTAACTCTGTGAATATACTTAAAACCCACTGAGTTGTACCCTTTAAGAGGGTAAATTTTATCGTGTGAATTTAATAGTACGTGAATTATATTTCAATAAAGCTGTTTCCAAAAAAGGAAAAGAAGAGCCGACTAGGTTCTAACGGAACTGTTGTAATTTTCTTTGTTATCACGTCTATAAATAATTTCACCATAGAAGTGTTATAGCATTTTCATAAAGAACCTGAAGGTTATTTACATAAAGCCAACTTTTTCTGAAAACATCTTCACCTTAGAAATAGGAGTTTCCCGGGAGAAGCAGGGAGCATTAACAGCAAATTGGCTCAAACCCTCTTGGAGGATTATGGAAATGTTTGCATTCTCTATTCACACTCACCAGTTGAAAATTCTGAGGCAATGTTTGTTTTCAGAACATTTAAAGCTTCCTGGAGAGATTGAATAATTCTTAAGAGTAATGCCAAAACAGCATTATGCATTTGACATGAAGAATTAAAGAGAATGACTAATGAAGTTCTAGCAAAGCTCCTTCCAAATTCTACCTCTGTTCTCTACCAGGGTATATGAGTCATTTTCCATGCCCAATTCATTTAAACAATGAATTCTTCCAGAAATTGAGAAACTAGCAAGCAATGACAAAGTCCACTCGAAAAACAAATTTGAGTTTTTGATTGTATTTCCATTTGATCCTCTCTAAGGATTAAAATGAACAGTGTCATCAATATGCTACAGGAAGGGGCTTCCCTGGTGCTGGTGGCGCAGTGGTTGAGAGTCCGCCTGCCAATGCAGGGGACGCGGGTTCGTGTCCTGGGGCGGGAGGATCCCACATGTCGCGGAGCGGCTGGGCCCGTGAGCCATGGCCGCTGAGCCTGCGCGTCCGGAGCCTGTGCTCTGCAACGGGAGAGACCACAACAGCGAGAGGCCCACGTACCACAAAAAAAAAAAAAAAAAAAAGCTACAGGAAGAAGTTAGATTGAAATAATATTACAGGCTTTAAGTTATGCAATGTTTTTAATCTTATAAGTGTGGCAACTGATATGTGGGGCTAAGGATCATTCTTTTTTTTTTTTAACAGGTAAAAAAATTTATTTACTTATTTAAATTCTCCTAAAATATAAAAAACAGAACGGTTTCCTGAATTACAGCTTTTGGCAGTAAGTAAAGGTCAATGCAAAGAACAATAAGCCTCAACTTCCTGTAGCAGCCTTTATTTTGCCCTAAAAAGAGAGACCATTTTCCTACAGAGACAGTCATTTAGATGAGACACACATCAAGTTTTTTTCTTAAGTGCCAAAACTCATATAATTCCTGTAACTGCGGATGAGAAGTATAACTTAAATACTCCAGGTGATCGCAAATCCTGAAGAGTTCCTGATTTCTGTGACGGGGAAGAATTTGACTAGTACATAGCTGAACTAAAATCCAGGCAAAAATGCTCTACAACTTCATCTACTGGTTTGTAATTCATTAACATATTGTAAGACTGTTATTCAAATCTAGTTATGTGGTAATAAGACCTGAGAGTATTTTGTAAAAGTTTGTTTTAAAAATCCCCAGTTAAACTTAATTTGCTAATTTTCTATTCTATTATCTATATTTTTCTTTGTTTAATCTGTCTCCTTTTCTTTCCACAAATTCCCAAGGACAATTCCTTAAAAAATTATTAGTCCTATTGTTCGGTTGGAGGTGAATTTATCCCAACAATCCGCAGGTCTGTGGATGTCCAGAATGTAACTCTGGTGAGCCAGATGGGCTCCTACAACAACCACAGCAGTGTAGTAGGGCACAGTTTGACCGACGTTCACTCCCAGCAGGCTCAGTGCCCCCAGCATCGCCACAGTGAAGCCACTGAGCCACTGCTTGGTATCTTCACGGAACAGCAGTGCCGTGGACTTAAACCCGATCCGAGCATCATCTCTCTTGTCCTGATGAGCATAGATAGTATCGTATATTACAGTCCACATAATTCCAGAAAAATAAAGAGGAAGGCAAACAGATGGATCACAGAAGCCCTTGACAGCAGACCATCCAAGTAATGCTCCCCAATTAAAAGTCAACCCCAAGGCTAACTGAGGCCAGTATGTAATTCTCTTCATTAGCGGGTAGGTGATGACAAGAAGTAGGGATGCTGCTCCAAGAGCTATACTGTAGTAATTCAGACATAGAACACGCAGTGCCAAGGTCAGCTGTCCCCCAAGAAAAACAAAGGATTGAAAAGTTGAAATGTCTCCAGCAGCTACTGGGCGATTTGCTGTTCTTGTAACCCTGCCCCCATGGCCGCTCCTCTGTGGAGAAAGGAAGCACACTGCGCTTTGCAACACCAGCTATTCAACTGATACTGGCACTTCTTACGCTGGATTTCAGTGAGGACACTAAATGATCCTGTTGCTTTTTGTGGCATTCAAAAGTGATGCCACCATCTTGTCATTAATAGTACAGCCTGCTCCAGGCATCAGAAGAGCTCCAGTGCCAAAGAGGGATAACATGTACCAATCTGGAAAACAACCTGGTTCAGCTGCCAGACCAATGCTCCAAGTACATGGCAGATACAGTAGCCAGGTTCCTATGGGCTTGTCCAACCGTATGAGGCGCAGGTAGGACTGCAGAGGGCGGGGCGACGAGTTTACGATCGCCGCCGCAGGCAGGCTCGTCCGCCGCCCGAGCGGCCCCCGCCCGGCTGAGGGCCGCCAGTCTCCCGCGTGGAGCCCACTGGCCGCGTGCGGTAAGGTGAGGGAGCGCCGCGCGAGCCCCACAGCCACACCTGAGTCCCTGCCCGTAGGCGCCGCACGAGCCCCGCGCCTGCCGCGCCCAGCATGGCGCTCCGGAGAGCGCCGATCATTCTTAATTATAGAAAAATTTCTACACAGAAAAAATCATGGGATTAGATTCAGAGCTTATTTGGATCATACATTTAATTATACTTATTGAGAAAAACAAATTCTAATCCGTAAAACAGATTAGAAATAACAGCACAAATCTCCTTAGCCTGCCAACCAGGCTTAATAACTGAATATTAAGTTATAATATCAGTTATTATCAGAAATTACCTGTACTATTCAGTGAGCTAATTCACTGCTAGCTCTTCTAAGAACATAGGCTCCAGAATAAAACAAAAATAAATTAAAAGAGAGATAGAGACAGAGTCAATCCTTTGCAATCTCTTTAAAGTCAAATGAAATGATTCCTTCCTGGGTCCAAACAGCCTTAGGGCTATGGTGGAAGTGAAGGGAAAGAAGATCTTCATTTCCAGGGACAGCTACCTGTCCTTCCTATTTAGAGATATCTGAACCCAGAACTGCACCCCAACAAGCCTTTCTGACGCATCTGGAAACTTCAGAAGCCACTTCTGATGGCCCCACTCTTGATATGACCCAATGACTAGGTACCCACGACATCTGGTCATTGTAGACCCTGTAGGGACTATTGCACCCACTTCAGATACCTTGGGACTCACTACATTAGACCTCATTTTTCACCAGTGCCTGTCCCAAACCATTCTAACATCTGTGGTTCACCAATGCACTACTCTTCTACATAGCAACCCTATTTACTTTTATTCTCACTCGCTCTACTTTGCTTGTCAAGGCATACTTTTTCTCTCCATAGACTCAATCTCTCCATTACTCCTTCTACATGCCAATTTTGGGAAAAAGAATTTCAAATCTCTCCAATAACCCCCTGCCACCCACAGACTGAGGGATCATATTAACCTGGGCCAGACATTCTACAGACAGCTGGGCTAGCCTAAGAACCAAATAACCTGGTGTTTGCAAACAGGATACCACTTCTCCCACAATACATCCACTTGCACATCAATTATCTGTTTGTCCGCCATGATTTCTCTGAACTTCTCAGCATCACAATTTCTCCAGCACCTGGGTAGTGTCTGGAAGAACTTCCAGTGATCCAAAGAACACAAAGCAAAAAAACAACGGACTGAGACTATCAAAATGGGAGACACCATTAGGCTCTGCTCCCATCACATATATCCCCTGCATATATCCCAAATTGTAAGACCAAAGTATAGAAGTCATCAACTTCATCACCTTCCTAAGCCAACTACACAATTCTCTGTGTAAAGACCCTGACTCTAACCCCTCTCTGATGCATTTACCCCATGAAGACCTCTATTCCTATCATGTGTGTAAAGACCAAGAGATGTCACTTTATTTTTGTCATTAAAAAGCAAGTTATGACTGTTGAGGAGTTCATTGTGATTAAATATCCAGTAAACTGGTAGAAGGCCTGGGTTTCTGGCTGCTGGTGTTGTAGTATCTCTGACATAGAACTCAGTGCTAACATTCCACAATTTCCAGGGAGCACACGGTAAAGTCTGAAGCTCAGAATTCTTTTAAGCTGCATGTTTTACTGGAGAGGAAGGGTTGGCTGTGCAAGGGGTTAAGTATTTCTGTAAGAACTGTGGGCCTAATCATAAGTCCTTGCTGTTATTGCAGTATACTGAGAATCCCCTTTTTTTTCTGAAATCATTCTAAAAGAGGCCCTTCACACAGGGAGCCTGAAGAATTTCATATGTGAATATTAAAACTTTTACTCTAACAATATCAAGAAATTTGTTTAGAGTGTGACAGGCAGCTGAAACTATTATGCCCACTGTGTACAATTAGGAGCAGAATTTAAAGTTATTTTTCTACCTTGAAACACTTTACAAATACAAATGTCTATGAAAAGATGCTTTGTTCATGACTATGCTTCTTCTCTGTGAAAACTCAAATGTATGTATGTTCGTATGTATGTGTGAGTGTATATATATACACATGTATAATGTGTGCAAAAGAAAAGAAGACCCTGACTCTAACCCCTCTCTGATGCATTTACCCCACCAAGACCTCTATTCCTATCATATCCCAGAGGCTGACTCAATAATCTGGTAAAAGAAACCCAAGTACATTATCAAATGGATATTAGAAGAATGGCAATAATCAAAAACACGGACAAAAAAACATTTTTGAGGATATGGAGAAATTAGAACTGTGCTAGTGGAAATGCAAAATGGTATAGCCACTTTGGAAAACAGTTTAGCAGTTCCTCAAAAGGTAAAAAAATAGAATTATGTATAACCTGACAATTTCACTCCTAGGTATATACTACAAAGGACTGAAAACATAGAGCCACAGAAAAGCTTGTATACACATGTTTACAGCAGCATTATTCACAATAGCCAAAAAGTGGGAACAACCCAAATGCCCATCAGCTGGTGAATGGATGAACAAAATGTAGTATAATTCATACAATGGAATATTATTCAGTCATCAAAAGGAATGAAGTACCAGGGTAAACTACAAGATGGATGGACTTTGAAAACATCATGCCAAGTGAAAGAAACTAGTCACAAAAGACCATGTATTGTAGGATTCCATTTATATGAAATGTCTAGAATAGGCAAATTCGTAGAGACATAAGCTATGTTAGTAGTTGCTCAGGGCTGGGGCTGTAGGGGAGGAAGGAATGAGAAGTGACTGATGTTGCACTTGCAGTTTGTTGGCTCTTAATAGGCTCTACATTTCCCTCCTGTTGCCTTTTCAGACAAGTGGTGATAAAGGTTCCCTGCTATTGCTTGTCCCAGATTCTTCATCTTCCCTTATTAATTCTTTTAATCCTGTCCACATCTGTTTCTTGTTGGGACAATGGCTGGTGTCCTACCCCTTTCTCTGTGTATGTCCCTGATTTCTAACTCTGAGGCTTCTTGGTGCAATTCCCAATACCAACTTGCTTATTCTTTAGGGAGAACCGCATTGATGGATAGGGAGTGGAGAAAAGATTGCATATTTACAACTCTTCCCTTCTTTTTTATTCTACACGTATTACTGAGAGATGTCAACTACCCAGGACACAGTGCAGGCTCTATCTAGGGGATTAGTGTCTTAGAGAGACAGAGATAGAAATGGGCTCAGTGGCAGCCTGGCTGTGCTCCAATGGAATTTTAAGAGATGGCCTGGTACTCAAATTGCCCTGAAGTTTTAGGACTTTAGCTATTGTTATTTCTAAACCTAATAGCTTTTGTAAGTGAGGGCTTGTGTTATATAGACCAACTGGCTTCATTTTTCCAGGAAAGGAGTAACTCATCTTCAGAAAACTAAGACAGTTTAGGGCTAAGGCAGAGCCTGACAAGAACCTATATTTATTTCATTATACAAAATACAGATCTTCCATTGTCAAAAGTTTACAATGAGTTGAATCCCTTGTCTTAGCCCAGTCAACCCCAAACCACCAAAACCAAATCCTTTGTTAGGTAAAATCAAATTTATCGGCCCATTGCTATGAAGGAGATCACAAATCAGAGAAACTGTGGTGCATCTCACCAACCAAAGTGAAAGATGGAACTAGGATAGAGAGAATTCTGGGCCAGGGTAGAGTCTGAGTTAAATTTAAATAAATCAGTGTTTTGATAGGCTCCAAGCAAAGTAAGGCAGTGTAAAGTGGTCAACATCACACTCAGACTGCAAAGTAGACCCAGGGTCTTGTTTCCTTGGAAAAAAGAAAGCTAAGATAGATGTGGGACACTGTGTGCAGAAACCCCTTATCTGAAACTCTGCATCTGGGCTGTAAATCCAGTTGGCTTCTCTGCATCAGAGTAACTTAGACACCGCCCCCCCCCACCCGGCCCAGCAAGAGTAGGTTGTTCCTCTCTTACTGATATCTTTTCAAACAACAATTTAAATCAAATTACTTACATTTCTGATAGTCTCCGATTTTAGAGAACAGTTTCTCAGCGAGGAAGAAAGTGGTAGTCACTTAACGAAGGGGATTGTTATGACACTTTACAGCTGCTGTGTGGCCTTGGGGGAAATATTGTTTCCTGTTAACTTATGCAGCTGGCTTTATCTGTGTCTTTTATTCCAATCTGATGAATGGTAGGACAGATTTTTACTGTCCAAGCTATTTTTACTTTCTCATTGCCTTGGTGAGCTGCACTGAGCATGTAGCATAAGCAAGAACTAAATTTTTGTAAGATTAAGCTGCTGAGGTTCTGGGGGTTTGGTTTGGTTTTTTTTTTTTTTTACCAGAGCGTCACCTAGTCTAGCCTGGATGTCATAGAGAGTTCTGTTTTAATTAAATTCCCATAAAATGAGGTACTGGCTTAGGGGCTGGTAGCAGGTGGCAGAAAACTATTATTGGAGGATGAATGGATGTATATCCATATTATGCAGTGGCAAAACATTTGATAAAATTGTCATCTGAGGTAATTTGGTGGGCACATCAAGTCCTTAATAATTTGTAGCCTTAGAAGAAGAGGTTGGAAAATAGAATGTTTATAGCCTGTGTTGGTTGTTAATGACTATGTTTGGCAAGGTATTATAAGAAATAGATGAGCTCAGAAAACAATTGGCCAGTTTGCGAGCAGGAAAGGGAATAGAGAGTGTCTACAGATTTGGGAATTTATAGGGCTGCAAAACGCAACCATTTCTAATCCACAAACAGTAAAAAGTAGCACTGAGCAATACTCTGATAACAAAGTCTGATTAAAATAGCCCTGGAGCAAGGATCAAATCAAGATACAACCATAGGGTATATTGTTAAAATCTGTATGGGTTAAGGTGACACCTGCTATATCTTTTCAGTTGGACAAGATAGGGTGAATGAATTAAGGTGTGTCTTTCCCAACAAAATAGGGTGAATGAACTAAGGTGTGTCTTTCCCACCAAAGATAGGCCCACAGTAATTGCAGTTGAGAGAGAAAGAGACAGAGATGGAGAGAGAGGCAATAAAGCAAAGACATGTAGAAAATTCAAGATGTATGAGTAAAGAGAAATGAAAACTTCTGTCCTTTCAAAAACTTGTACATAAATGTTTATGGCAGCATTA